TGAAAGGCTTTTCTCTTTTTGTATGCCCGCCACACATCCACCACCTCGTCCCAGTTTGGCTCATAATCGAGCAGACTGATGCACATGAGATCGCTCAGCCGTGTGTCCTTCAGGCTGCCCCGCAGCCACGACTTGATGACATTCTGTCGTGAGAATCCCCGCTCACATTCCACCGTGCTCAGCGGAAGCACGGCCACTGCCACCCACAGCTTCATGAGGTTGGGGTAGGCATCTTGCCAGTCTGCTGTCTTCAGCATCGCAGTGAGGCCAGCGTGGAAGCTTTTTTCGCTCTTCGGAAGTGCAGCAAGGATCGGGGTGAAGTGTGGCAACTCCCGCAGTGCTTGGCGCTTGTCGATGCCTGCCACAGACGGGAAAAGAGGTCGGGGGAGTGGTGTAAGGTTATGGTGGAGACAGTCAACTGAGAGAAAGAGACAACACATGTGCAACAGTCTCAGTTGTACAATGGTACATGTCGGTGGGTTTAATGGTAACGAGTTCACCTGGAAGGATCTCGTTCCTCTGCTCCGCGTTGTACAGCCCCACCAAAGAGTGGAACCATTCCAAGCACTGCACCCTCCTCGCATGCCGATCCCAGTCCTTCGGCCAGGCAGAAACGCAGAACAGCTTTACCCCCGCCAGCTTGCGAAGATCCCCGAGGCGCTCGTTCAGGTTATTCACCATCCCTTCCGCCAGGTCCATGCAAGCCACCACGCAGTTGTCATGCTTCCCTCCCCCAGGGTACCCTTGCAGCGTGTCAACGTGAAGCTCAAATGTGAAGCTCGTGAGACTCCCGTCGGAGTCCACGCCACTGACAGTGACCTCGCGAGAACCGCCAGGACCATGAAGGGTGAGGAAGTTGGTGAGACGGTCCTTCGGGCCACCCCCGAACTCATCCCCGCAATCGACGTAGCGGCTCAGGAACAGGCTGGTGATGCGAAGGACGGACGCGTGGACGGTCAGGTAGTCCAGCTGATGGGGGATGGGGGAAGGTCGGGGGCAAGCAAGGTAGGACAACAATATAAAGTGACGTCCGCAAGTATACCACCACGCTAATGCAATTGTTATCTCACCTCGCGCTCCTGAAAGCCCTTGTTGAGGATGTTGAGCTGCTCGAGGACGTCAGCAAGGAAGTGGACGAAGAACCAGAAGCGGTAACTGGTCGCAATTCTGTAGAGCCTGTTGTCGGGGAACTCTTTGAGCATAACCACAAGCGCAGGCAACACCGCCAGCAACCTCGAGATTGCCTCACCTCTCGACAACCATCGAATGTTGTGAATACCCTGGAGCTCCAAGGTTGTCGAGAGGAACAGGTCTTGCAAGTCGAGAAAGCGCTGGTGCCACGGGCCGGATCTTCCGAAGTACTCCGCCAGCTCCTTGATGAAGTCATCCACAATTTGAAACACCGGAAGCGCCTCTGATGCTGCCTTGGCTGCCAAAGCCTCCCTGCATGACAAAACGTGAAACCAATACATTAGCATATTGCAAGCAAAGTTGAAGACGGCGTTAACTCTTGTACTCAGGATGACATATCTTACCTATGCGCAATACAGTGACACGACACAAGGTGAGGCACTTGCTGGCGCAGTCGAGTAACAAGCCCACTCTTCGACCCCATCATGACAGCCGCCCCATCAGTGCTGATCCCGGAGACTCGCTGGAGATCCACCCCAATGGCGTTCAGGTGGGTAAGCAGTAGGGCGAGCAGTGAAGACGCATCGGCTTTGTCCACCGTCAGCAAGGCCAGGTACTCGCACACCAGCCGGTTGTCACGGATGAAGTGGGCGTACACAATCAAGTGCTTCCCTCGGCAGCGGTCGGTGCTCTCGTCCAGCATGAGGCCGATGTAAGGACTCGACAGAAGGTGGTGAAGCTGCGTTGTTTGGAGCCAGGTTGCCGTTGCTAGTGTGAATTCGCCGAATCCGTACCTGCACGGTTCACATGGACTAACACACACTGTAAGTACGACGTGCAACCTAAGACGCGCACCATTCGGAGGGTCTAAATAATCAGAGAACATAGAGGGCATTAACAGAATGAAGTCCGTAGCTAAGCGGTGATGATTGTATACTCACGTGTTGTAGTACGTGCCGTAGGCCTGCTGCGGGAAACCCGTCACCTTCCGCGACGCCAGGTACTGAACGAGCCGGATCCATGTCTCGGCCGGCTCGTTAGTCTTGCAGCAGAACCACAAGGCGTCCAGCAGGGCAGTGACGCGCTCCCTCTCAAGGTCCCCGGCAAGGGGATGTTGATCGATGCGTTGTTGTCTGGTTGCCTGTTGCAGCAGATCGTTCTGCTTCTGCAGAGCGAGTTGGTGCTTGCCGGACCCCGCATGCCGTGTGAACGCCTGAGTCTGAGCATCGCATAGGCCTGGGCCACGCTTGCCAGCCTTCCCAGAAAGACCTGCGTGCTCCAAGCATAGGGTGCACTTAAAGGCAGGCAAGCCAGAGTCAGTCTTTAAAATGACAAGCCACGGGAATCGCGTCGACCAACGGGTCTTAAACCTGCTGTGAGCCTCCGCATACTGCTCCTCAGAACTCGTTGTCTTGGTCGACGACCCTGTTTGGGGTGTCGTCAACATCGTCGGCGTCGGCAGCTTCTTCATCGGGCGGTGATGGCTGTTTCACTTTGGGCTGACCAAATGGCAGAACAGCCTGCCGGTAGCGCCCACAAGGCCGCTGAGAGACAGACGCAGGAGAGGAGTCGTAAGCGGCTGAGTAGAACGACGGCCCGGGTACAGCTGGGGGTGGGGATTCGGCAACGGGACTGTGCTGTCTCGACTCACACGCGCGGCAGACTTTGGCGGGACAGCCGCTGGAGAGGCGCTGTCTGCGGGTTGGAACGTCGACGGACCAGGTACCGAAATTTCTGCAGCATGAACCGGAACGGGAAGACTCCAGCAGCCAGGTGGCATTGCTTGCACAGCCTCTGGGAGGAAGCGCTCGCTGGGTGGATCGGCTGCAGTCGCGCTACTGCGGGTGGGGTATTTCTGACTGCGGGCATCGTAAGGATGCCCGCTCTTCCATTGATGGTGGTGGGTGCTACACGGGCCTCTACTGCTCTAGGATTGCTGCGTAGCGAAGACAGGCTAGACAGTAGCATGTCTAGCCTGATCGAGCATCGGCCATAGCTGCGACATGGCGTCAGCATCGTCCTGAGGAGCCTCGTCGCCGGCGTCAGCCATGGCGACGTGGGGGGGCAGTAGAGCGATCAACGTGAGAGAGACGATGGAGGGCTTCTTGCACGACAGGTGAGACTGAGAAGAAAGCTAGGCAACGAGTCAGTGAGAGGGGCAATTTTGCCCCAACGTAAGAATGACCTCGACAAGAAAGGGGGGCGCGATTCGACTCGAATGGAGAGACGACAATGGGGCTGCATCTGGCCTTCATTCGAGAGGCCAGCGCAATGCATGCATCTGTTGCTTCATTGTCACCCGCTCTGCATGACAGCACCAGTGTGCTGGCGCAACGGTAGGCTTTGTTACTGGCTGACGATACCACATTTGCCTTAGCACCAATCAGATCGTGCAACATCGATGCCTTCAGTATACAGCTGTGCTGTAGGTTCCGCCCTAAGCCAATCAGTTGTCACCGTGCAGTGAGCTGGGCAGCATATGACTCGGCTGGTCGGTAACTTGGGCGAAATTTCAGGGACCTTGACATGATTTGAGGGAAACACGTGGGGGGAAGGGGGGGGGGGGGGGGGGGAGAGAGCGGGGAGCGCAAATCCCGGTATTGACAAAATCAGGACGCGTACGCATTAGAGTGTCAGAAATTTCAGGACGCGTTACATAAACCATGCGGAGTGATCAGAGTTCACTACAAAAAAACCGCTGAAAAAACAGGATGCCGAACAAAAAAAACCCTACGCAATCAGGACCGGCCCGCCAACGGGGTCTGTTTTTTTCCTGAATCAGGAAAATTTTCCTGCAATCTAGGGGCCTGGTACACGCTAATCCAGTACTGAGTTTTCAGAGTACATCGGGTACAAACCTTGAAACAGATTTCCATGGGGCACGCAAGATCCCCAGAAATTTCGCCTGCCATCAGTGCTTCCCGCCCGCGTCACGTGCAGAATCCACACTTCGCATAAAATTCCGCCAAGTCCAATGTATACTCTGCCCACAGTGGGCACTTAGCTATCCAGCGCGGCAAAAATGCTGCCATGCTGAGCCAATAAGGACCGCAGATTCTGCTCTGTTGCTCTCTGTGCATGCGCGAACCTCGGGCCCGTGCCCTCTATGCCAGCCTTGCAGACCTTTCATGAAAGGTGCGACACGGGTGTGATGGATCCCTTCTTCTCCAATCGTTCCTTACCCATCAGCTTTGAACGCACTGCTTCAAGTTTTACAGGGGGAATCGTTCCATTTGTTCATTTGTCTGAGACACAGGCGTAGTTGTAGTCGCTTTCTTTAGTTCCATCTCTCGCCATGCCTGAAAAGGATGGCGCCGATGATGCTCCTGCTGACGGTGATGAGCCGCGCAGTAGTAAGGATCCTGCCGTAGCGCCAAGGAGCGCCCTAGACATCTTGCGGCCCGTTGCCGCATCGGCTCCTTCGCCTCTTGTCGCCACAACCGCTGTTGACGAGACACCGTGCGACGAGCCATCGTTGCCTAGTAGACCTGCCCCCGCTCCCTTCATTCTCCCACCAGCCATAGCATCTTCCAGCAGAGGGCCAGTGGATCCTATTCAGTGCGCCACTGCCTCTACCATTCGTTATAGTGTGCCATGCGCATCTACCGTCTCTTCGGCGAAAAAACAACGCACGACGAAGTATACGCAGCAGCGTATCAACCTTGGTGGCCAGATTCGCCCTCCCTCACCACCGCGCTCACCTCCCCCTGTCACCCGCCCTGATGAACCGCCGCCACCGAATCTAAGTACAAAGGAGTTGATTGAGCAGAAGTACCTAGTCGCTGAGGCTAAGTACAAGAATGATTGGTTGCGTTATTTCCCCTGGCTTGTACTTACCCGTACTAAGGAAGGCTACCCCGCCCTTAAGTGCAGCGTTTGCCGAGCCTTCGGCAAAGAAACGACGAAGTATTCAAGGCCAGGCGATGGCGGGCGAGATCTCCAGACACAGACGATGCGCATCCATGAACACTCGACAGTCCACGAAGAGGCGGTTCACCGGCAGCTCGAGATTCAGAAGGAGATTGAAGACAAGCAGCAGAAGATGACAAGCTTCGCCACCGTCGATGTCGAAGGCCGCCGTGTCATCCGTCTTTTGCAGTTCGTGGAGTTTCTTTGCAAGAACGATGCTCCTATCGCCATGTTTCCCAGGCTGCTTCGTTTCATGGCAGAGCAAGACACACCAGACATACCTCTCCAGTCGTACCGGTGTGTATCTCACCAGGTAAGGCTACCTTGTTTTCGTCGGTCGACTGTATGACTTTGGTATCAGCCATGTAAATTTCAATGCATTTGCAATGCTAATTAACGACTGTTTCACTTCTGATTATGCCACTGCATGTACGGGTTCCAGCAGATGGTGAACTGTCTGTCAACTCATCTGCTGGCTACTCAGATGGAGCACATCAAGAGCTCACCTTACCTCGGCAACTCATGCGATGAGAGCACCGACCGCACGCGGGGAAAGCACCTGATCGTCTACATCACATTCATGCGGCTGCGTCGAGTCGTCACCGAATTCCTAGCCCTGCTAGAAGTTCAAAAGTGCGACGCCGCTTCTCTCATGGCCACTCTCCTAGTCCACCTGGAGTCGTCCGGCATCGACCTTCAACGCATCGTCGGCATCAGCACAGACGGCGCGTCGGTGATGATCGGGCGAGACAACGGGCTTGTGGCGCGCCTGCAAGACATCATCCCGCACCTCTTTTCCTCCCACTGCATCGCCCACAGGTTTGTTAAATTATTCCTTGCTGTTTGTTTATGTTTTTTATGTTTCCGTGTGCTAACTACTACCCGTGTGGGTACATGCAGAGAAGCACTTGCTGTGAAGGACGCTGCCGCTTCATGTCCAGACCTCGACATGGTCGACAAGGTCACTCGCACCTTTGCGGACCTGCTCGGCCGGTCAAGCGTATGGAGCAGTCGTTTCCAGCATCTGCAGCGGGCGATTCACAGCACAAACCTTGAGGTTCAAGGCATCCATCAAGTTTGATGGTTGTCTAGGGGAGAGGCAATCCGACGCCTGTGTAAAGTGTTGGGTGCTGCGATTGTCCTGCTGTATGAGTATGAGCATCCCCTGTATGAGGTTGTGATTTCGTATAAGTTTCAGTTTTGCCACTTCTACCTGGCCGACATGCTCATCAGTCTCATGAACGACCTCAACCTCAAGTTCCAGAAGCGAGAGGTGAGATACTGTCTGCAAGCGTGGTGTTCTCCTCTGGTGCAAGTACTCATGTCTTTCCCTCTCCTCTGTGTCCTCCCCCCAACACCGCAGGTCGATGTCACAGAGGTGGCAACGGACATCGACGAGACACTGGGGGATCTGCGGCATCGCTATGTCGAGTATGGGGAGGTTTTCGGTGACGGTGCCGAAAACACCTGGCTCTCGGCGTTCCTCACGGTGTACGGGCGCGGCGGGTCGAAGCGGGTGAAGGTGCGCGGTATCGACTTGGAGGGGAACCCCGTCACCCACACGTACAAGATGCACGAGCGGCACCTCGACAAGCACAAGTACGGGAGCAGCTACAAGGACTGCGTGCTGTTGTGCCAGAAGCACGCCAAGGATACCATGATCAACGTACGAGAGCGGATGCGGGGATCTGCGCAAGATGTCACCGACGAAGCTGTGGGTGGCGGCGAAGTGGCTGAGACAACGGGCGCAGCACGAGAAAAGGACGAAAGAGTATCTACTCGGATGCAGCGGCATCTTCGAGCACAAGCTGCCCGGCTTCGACGTGAAGGCAGCGGAGACGGAGCTCGCAACGTGGGCGCCGATCATGCAGAATCATCACGAGGTGGAGAGCTTCCACCAAGGCCTGGCAAACTACCTCACGAAGACGGACTCGAGCAGGCAAGTCCAACGGTATTGTTGTTTCTGAATCACCACCTCCCATTCTACTTGTCAAGTGTGCACAACATTGCCGCCCTTGCCGACCGCCTTTAAACCCCCTGTGTTATCCGCCTTCACTCTATGCTTTTCCTACTGCCTTTCTTCCGCCTTTGTTTTTCTATCTTGTGTCAGGCGCTGGCCCAATCTGATGCGCCTGTGGCAGGCCTGTGCCGTGCTGCCTCTGTCAACAGTCGAATGCTTCTCTCGACAGAACGTGATTAAGTCCTGGGTCCGTGGCTCACTCTGCAACGCACGCCTCTCTGAGTTGATGACCATCTCGCTGCTGCAGTACGACATCAATTGGACCGATGCCCTGGCGACCTGGCAAGAGAAGCTGAGACGCCCAGCACGATCTGTTGTCTTCGCATCTGCGGAACGTAAGCGCAAGGGAAAGGCCCTGGAGGGTGAGGTGGCGGGAGACACAACGGGTGATCGACAGGGGAGGTGCCAGAGTACATGGGGGAGGGGCGGGCTGAGGAGGATGGGAGTGATGATGAGGATGATGCGGCTCCAAGAATAGACGACGACCCTTTCCTGTCAGACAATGAGGGGGGTGATGATGAGATTACAGTAGATGCGCCGGAGTTCTAGGAGCTTGTTAGTTAGTGATTGCTTGGTGGTAGACTGGTAGTAGTAGTATGGTAGTTGTAGGCTCCTGTCCAGTGTAGGAAAATATAAGATACAAGAAGGCTTCTTAATAACATGTAAGTTGTAGTAAGTAACCCTGAATGTACTTGCACGATCCTGAGGATTTCAGACTTGCTCATCTCCGGACTCTGACATTTCAGAGTCCCAAAATTCTGGCTGAAGACCTTTCAGACTATTTTTTTTTTTGGGGGGGTTAGCTCAGAGTGCCTTTTTTTGAAACGTCAGCCCTGATGTGGAGGCTTGGGCAAGGAGTGAATGCAGAGGGAGGAGCGCAAGGTGCGGTCCTGCATGCAGTGGGTGGGTGGGGGAGCACTGGCTTTGGAAGCGGTGCTGCTGGCCGTGATCTTCATGCTCTACGGCTTACCCTTCCATAAATCAATGTGGAATTACACCAGTAGCACATGCACAATGCCAGCTGCACACACTGTGCCCCCCAGGATGTGACTGCCCCTGCCTGCTCTTTCGTCATACCCTTGGGCTCAGAGCCCAAGCTCATCAAATGGTCCACTATTCAGGTGGTTACGGTAGGGTGACTTACTCATCAAAGTTGCTGCATTTATTTCCAGAGGATCATCAGCAGCATTATTCACAACGCACATCTTCACCACCTACCTACTCAAGGATGCTCGCTGCTACTGCTCCAGTTCAAAATCACGGTCACTTGTCTCCCACGACCGAATTGGCTGGCTCAGCACTAACAGACCTCTCACGGAACCATAATAAGATCGCCGTTCCATGTGCCATTGCACGGGCGACCGTTGTACTCCACGAATTTAGCAGTGCTGCCTCCGTAATACGCCATCAGCGCCACGCAAGGCGTGTTCTTAGGCACTCTCTTCACACAGCCGATCTTGCCCCTGCCAGCCGCAAATGCTGCACAGAACACAAGCCGCAACGCAAGATGGGAGGAGCGGCTGAGGGTCAGGAGGAGGACAGGCGAATGGTGCGATCCATGTGGTCCACCACCCATGATTCAACGGGGCACTGGGAAGTCATACCAGTTCACACAAGAACCAGCCGAGGAATGATTTGCCCCTAGCCTTAACGGCAAGAGCCAAGGGAGAGGCGAGCACCAAAAGAAAAAGGCGGGCTGGAATGCGCAGCTCACCCGAGGATGCGAGGAGCAGCACGAGCGCGAGCGCGAGCATGAGCAGAGCGCGGAGGAGAGTAGCCACGGCACGAAGGGGCTTGGCCGTTGCCATGGCGGACGACCCGAGGGACTTTGGAAGAGAGGTCGCTGGAGGACTGAGAAGCGAAAG